AGAGCTTGCCAGCGCTGCTGCGCCAGGCCAGGCGCTGGGCTCCGGGATCTAGAAGCTTGGACGTTAGTGGCGAGCAGAAAACTCCCTAGTGGGCTTCTCTCAGGCCTCAGGATTCAGGGCAGCCCGCCCGCCACTCCGTGCGCGCGGGGGGGTGAGGGTGGGGGCCCGCACGGGAGAAGGGGAACGCTGATCCTAAGGCCAACAATGTCCGCCAGGACCCTCCGACCGACCATTTTTTTTAATTGACCGCTGACAGGCCGAGGGAGTTTGTTTTAGTGCTGAATGCTCGGCAAATAAAATCCTTTTGAAAAGGGAAACCAAGTCGTTTCACGCCACCGAAGTGCTGATTTGGTGAAGAATGACTGATGGGACAAAGCCGGGCTGCGCGCTGGCGCGGGTTCCCAGAAGGGAGCCCGGCCGCTTGGGCCAGCGCAGGAGGCGGCCTGCAAAGATGGGGGCGGGGAGGGGAAGCAAACAAGACCCCCCCAAACCTGAAATCGACCGCGCGCTAGCCCTCCCCTCTCCCCCTTTCACTACCAATTTGAGGGGAAATGGAAGAAGTGGAGAGAAGAGTAAAGGGACTCGGGAGGGCTGCGGGGTGGGGGGGAGAAGGCGGCCAGCAGGCGAGGGGAGAGACTCGGAGTCCAGAGTGGGCGGGAGTGAGGGGCACAGAAAGCTCAGGAGGGGGGCAGAGGTTTCCGAAGCGCTCCCGTCACCGCGCGGTTGACTTTCCAAGTCGGGAAGGAGAGTATTGTTTGTAGCACCTAGGAAACCTTCCGAAACGGCGGGCTACTTCTCCTCCACCTCCGGTGGGCGTTTGGTAAATATTAACAAACTAGGGCGCGATGTTTTCCGAAGTGGGGCGGGGGGACTGGTCCGGGTTTGGGATGATTTCCCTCTGCTGACGCTACCCCCCCCCCCCCCCCCCGCGCCTCCACCCCCCCCTGCACGCATGCACACACCTGCTCGACTACAGGAGGAATCAAAATCAATATTGTATTTGTCACCCCTCTGCCTCCTTTTTACGCCCTCAGCAGCCCGGGTACCACTGAGGCGAATTGTGGATTTATGGCGGGAAATTAGCATAAATTATTACGGAATCTGTAGCCGTGTGTGGTCCAGCTTGTGGGAAAAGAGGCTATTGCGAACTCTCCAAGCAGAAAGGTGGTCGGTGGTGGGCTCAACGGAGGCGATGAATGGCTAGTGCACGAGAGATTTCCATTTGGTTTGCACATGGGTATAATTGACTTATGTGTATTTTATACAGTTTTCCCAACAACTCTCTAAGCCTCCGGGTCGGATACGTCCTCCTCCAAAGCTTCTGTTTGCTTTGGGTGCTGTACAATAGGCTTTGGTGCACTGTTCAAGATTTCTGGAAAGTACTCCCCCCGCCCTCCCCTTCATAATGCCAGCTTTAAAATGCGGTCAATAGCATGCAAATCCCCCCCCACCCCCCCCCCCTCCCCCTAGGCTTTGTCAATTTCCAGCGGGAACAGACTCACAACTTGTAGCAAAGCACGCGTTTTAATTGCGAGTCTCCCCGCACCTCCGAACCCCCGCCCCACCCTTGGGGGAACTTTAGCTATTAGGATAGATTTACTTCATTAACCCTGGCGGGGGGGGGCGGGGAGGGCGGAACGGGGGACTGCTGCCTCACCTCCCATCCCCATCCTAGCCAAACTTGCATGCGTTCTCAGACCCGAATTCCTTCTTGTGTCCTTGCACGTCCCAAACTCGGTGGTGACAACTTTCCCGGGGAGATGAACGAAGATTTATTCTAGCTTGCGTGGTTTTTTTGTTTTGCTTTTTAACCCGAAGATTTCCACTCTTCAGCATTTAATCTTCTGTTTACTCTGAGCAATGATTTGGACAGCCATACAACGGCCCCTTTGCAAGGCAACAAAATGCCAGCTGTTAAAATAAGAAAATATTTCTCCCCTCACCAACCCCCCCCCCCCCCCCCCAGCTCCCACGATTAAAAGGCACGCACGCACCGGGGAGAAAAGAATGTCTTCCTGGCTGTCACTGCGGGACCCGGGAAATTTCACTCTCAGCGTCCCACACCCCGAATCCAACCACCCGTAATACGTTATCTAAGTCTCCACAAATCAAAGCGTTCTAAAAGCCCTTGGGATTTTCGATGCTGGTACCTTTCCACTGTTGGAACGCTCCAGCCTGGACCACAGGGAACTTTCGGTTGAACTTCCCAGACCTGCTGTTCTCTGGAGCTGGGAGCCGCACCTTCCGGTTCTGAGGCACACAGCCCTCCCCACTAGCCTATCTAGAATGTCCCTCAGGCTCCCACGTTCCCAGGTCGTTGGACCCCAGGACCCCCGAGCCGAACTCGACCGCGACAAATAACCTCTCAAAAGCCGCATCTCCTTAGGGCTGAAGCGCACGCAATTGGAACTCGTAAACGCCTTAGCTCCGCGGAGGTTCTCGCAGCGTCCAAAGGCTGCATCTCGCCCCCCTCCCCCCCCAGCCCGGCCCCAGAAGCAGGTCAGCGGCCCTCCCCCACCCTCCCGCACCCACCTCCTCCCCTGAGTTATTTTTTCCGAATTAAGAAGGTAACATTACTCTTTTCTTCAAGCACTTCTGTTAATATTGGAAAACGTGCGCGTGCATCTCAAGTGAGGCAGTCCAGACGCGAGAGCCATTTCAATATTAATGAAATTGTTTAATCTCCTAAAGTCATCGTGTTTAAGTTACGTTTTGGTGAGTTATTGACCACCTCCGAAACTGTAGTTAATGGGGTTGTGTGTACGCGCGCTGAAACCTCTTTTTTTTTTTTTAATGCTAACCCCAAACACCGCCACTAATAATACACCAGTATCACTAAGGTGTCTAAGCTTAGCACCCAGAACGTCTCCTACCCACCCCTACCTCCTGAAAGAAAGAAAGAAAAAAGTTATTACATTTCCGGACTTTGAAGGTGATTCTGTGTGGGCGGTGGGAACTGTTTCTGAATTTCTTTCAAGAGCGATAAAGGTCACAGTATGTGTAGTGACCAGTGGGAACTCCCCGCACCTATTTGCAGACCGCGTGCACGCAGGCGGGAGCAACTTCCTGTTTTTTCCATAGCAATTTGATGGTGATGATGATGATGATAATAATAATAGTAATACGTCACTGAACCCTCTCTAGACTAATCCGAACCATAGGGAGGGAGCCTGATGCTCGCACCAGGCGGCGTGCCTCAGCCCCACACTTATATTCCCCACTGCCCCAGAGGAAGAAAACACCGCTGTTTTTAGTGGGACTCCGGGCCGTTTTTGCAAGGCTCTTAAAGTCTAACTGTGGGTTTAAAATAAAACTCTTAAAAGGAGGCGGGGTGAGGTGGGTGGGGGAAGATAGTTCTGGCTATAAAATGCAAACTTCCAGGAAGCCACCTGGGACAATGACAACCCTTCGATTTCACTGGTGATAAAGTGGGTCACACAAAGCCAGGCCTTTCCCAGGCCCGCCGCTGCCTCAGCCCCTCCACCCGGCGTCCAACCAACTTCCTGAAGGACTTTCAAGTCGAAGAACTACTCGCACAGATCTACTCGTAATACCTTATTTTTTCTTTGACCGATACACTTAGATTCAAAATAGGTTCGTACACGAGGCTGTCCGGTTACATTTTGTAAGGGTTTTTCTTTCTTTTTTCAGCCCCCCCCCCCTTTAAAAAAAGACACAGCTCAACTATGTACAGCTTAGGAAAGTCAAATCAAACAACAGCCATCCTTGTGGGGGACAGGAGAAGGGGAGGAAAGAGGGTGCATTTCCATTGTAATATCTCATGCAACCGGCCCCGGGTAATGCCAGGCGTAGGGAAGGGTCTCTGCTTGGAGAGAAAGCCAGGCCTGAAGTTAGCTAACAATACAAACCCGATACAATGTAGAGCAAACAGAATACCCGAGTCAAGCAATTTCCATGTCAAATCTAATCTGCTCGCCTGCTCGGTCTGGGAACAGAAGTGGTCGCCTGGCTCCCCGCATCTCGGCGACCGCCTTCTCATACCTTCACAGCGCGCGCGCCCGGACCTGCGCGGGAGTCCCTCTCCCCACCGGCCACCGAGGCTCTTCCCCCTCGCCCAGGCTGCAGCTGGAAGTGATTCCTATTGGCCAAGGTGTCCATGTAAATAGGTGTGAAAGACACCAGAGCCGCCTGGGCTCTCCCCTCTCGCTCAGTCCCCTCCCTCCGCAGCCCCCGCTCCCCCTCCTCTGCCTCCTCCTCCCAAGGCGATTGTCATATGATTGCTAAGAAGTGGCACGTTAATGAAGCGCCGCTACAGGGGTCTTTTCTGCTCCTGTCACCGCTTAAAACTATCAGATGGTTCGAGGAAGGACATGGAGCCAGCCACCTAGCTCAGCGGAGCCCACAGCAGCGCCCTCCGCAGCCCCGAGGCCGCCAGTGGCAGCGCCCGCGCCGGGACTCCGCCGCCGAGCTCGGCTGCCCACGGGGCGCACAGCCAGGAGAGCCGCGGAGCGCGCGGCGCGGAGCGCTGCGGGGCTGAGCTGCGGAGCCGAGGGGCGCGCCGAGCCCAGCCGAGCCGGGACGCCGCCCCCGCGCCCGCGCTCAGCGCCCGCGGGGCCGCGGCCAGCTGCGGCGCCGTCCCGGATGCGGATGCGCAACTTGGAGCAACTTTAAGGTGAGCAGCTCTCGATTCGGTTTCGGACCCCACTCCCGCTCGAGAGTGGGCCGGCTTCCCTGTTCCCTCGCGCCGCTCGCTGGCCTCCCCTCTCGCGCCCTCCGGCCGCGCCCAGCTCGGAGAGCAAACTTGCGGGCTAGAGCGCGCGGCCGCCGGCAGCTCCAGCGCCCAGCGCCCTACTGCCGGCCCCCGAAGTGCGGCGTGGCCTAGCTGCCCTCGCGAGGTCCGTCGCCAGGTGTGTCCATGCCACCTTCCTCGCCACCCACCCACCCCCAACCCCTCCCCGTGTGTCTCTCTCCCCCCCCTGCCCAGATCCCAGCAGCCCGCCGGCCAGCGCAGACCCAGAGCCGCCAGGGCGAGCAGGAAGATGCCTCGGCCGGGCCGCAACACGTACAGCGACCAGAAGCCGCCCTATTCGTACATCTCGCTGACCGCCATGGCCATTCAGAGCTCGCCCGAGAAGATGCTGCCGCTCAGCGAGATCTACAAGTTCATCATGGACCGCTTCCCCTACTACCGGGAGAACACGCAGCGCTGGCAGAACAGCCTGCGCCACAACCTCTCCTTCAACGACTGCTTCATCAAGATCCCGCGGCGGCCCGACCAGCCCGGCAAGGGCAGCTTCTGGGCGCTGCACCCCAGCTGCGGGGACATGTTCGAGAACGGCAGCTTCCTACGGCGCCGCAAGCGCTTCAAGGTGCTCAAGTCCGACCACCTGGCGCCCAGCAAGCCAGCCGACGCGGCGCAGTACCTCCAGCAGCAGGCCAAGCTGCGCCTCAGCGCGCTGGCCGCCTCCGGCACGCACCTGCCGCAGATGCCCGCCGCCGCCTACAACCTGGGCGGCGTGGCCCAGCCCTCGGGCTTCAAGCACCCCTTCGCCATCGAAAACATCATTGCGCGCGAGTACAAGATGCCCGGGGGGCTGGCGTTCTCCGCCATGCAGCCCGTGCCAGCCGCCTACCCACTCCCCAACCAGTTGACTACCATGGGCAGCTCGCTGGGCACCGGCTGGCCACACGTGTACGGTTCCGCGGGCATGATCGACTCGGCCACCCCCATCTCCATGGCGAGTGATTACAGCGCTTACGGCGTGCCGCTGAAGCCGCTGTGCCACGCAGCGGGCCAGACGCTGCCCGCCATTCCGGTGCCCATCAAGCCCACGCCGGCCGCCGTGCCCGCGCTGCCCGCGCTGCCCGCGCCCATCCCCACCTTGCTCTCGAACTCGCCACCCTCTCTCAGCCCCACCTCCTCGCAAACAGCCACCAGCCAAAGCAGCCCCGCCACCCCCAGCGAAACGCTCACCAGCCGGGCCTCCGCTCTGCACTCGGTGGCTGTGCACTGACCCGGAGCAGCACCGGCTCGTCCAGTCTACGCCCCCCGCCCTCCACCCACCCACCCAGTTCCCTCGCTTTTCCTGGCTCCCAGTCCTGCCCTCCCGACCTGAGATCTAGGATGCCACCCCACCTTGTTTATTTCACTCTCGGCCAACCCTCTCTCCCACGCGAGAACTTTGTTTTAGACCTAGCGGGAGACAAAAACACAAACTTGCAGACGGGCCTGGAGACGCGTGGGAGTCTCCTTAGCAGCCCACGAGAGGGGAAGGCAAGAGGGCACCTGAGTCAAAGCACTCTGTCCCAGGGGCACAAGACCTCCCACAGAAGACGCTAGGGAAATCCTGCCTTCTCAGAGGCCCATGCGTCTTCCCTCCACCCTCTTCCGTCCGGCTAGGAGGCGTTCCCTGCCGCGAACTCTGAGCGGTTCCACGACCAGAGAAACCGCCTCACAGCTTTCAGAGAAGAGATTCTCTCTCCCCAGGGCCGCAGCGGCACAACGCTGGGCCAGGTTCCAATTACCCCGGTTGGTTAACCTCTTGGAAATAAGCTGCGAAAGGGGAGCATTTATCTTCCTCGCCCACTCCCCCCCTCCGCCCCTCTTGCAGGGGCTGGGCAGAACCCAGCACCCTGGTTGCGGCCCTGCAGACGTGGCTTCGGCGGATTCTTTCGAAGCCCCGGGCGCTGAGAGTTAAGGGGTGCCAGGCTGTGGCGAGGACTTTCTGGTCCTCCACAAAAGCAAACCACAACTAAAAGTCATCTTGTATTGTTTACAAAGCGCTGGAAAGATGTAAAGCGTGAACTTGAATCTGTCTTGCTAGGCGGGCAAGGGGGCAAAGCCCACTTTACAAGTACCTGTTGTAATGTGAATGTTTACTCTTCATTTCTGGCCAGGTTTAGGGGAGGGAGGGGAACTGGGGTGGGGGGAGGGCAGGGAAGTTAATTAGGATGTTAACTTTCCGATTACGTAGAGATCTTTTTAGCTATTTATTTTCTAGTTGGGAGAGGAGGGAAGAGGGGGAATGGACATGAAATAAGCCCGAACGAAGAAAAGTCCCAGGGCAACCCTCTTCGAAGTCAGAGAGCTGCCGGGGAGAAGGGGCAGCCAGCACTGGATAGTTCTCCCATGGACAAGGCTTTCCGCTGGCTACCAAGCCTTTCCCAAGAAGCCAAAGGGCTGCAAAGAGTTGTAAATAGTTGTGAATAGGAATGACCATACCCCGATGTCAAACGCACTTTTGTTTGCTATGTTCCTTTAGGGTCTTAGGTAATTTGCTGGAGAAAAAAAAAAAAACATGGTCTGGTGTGACCTGCTTAAGTTAAAAAAGAAAAAAAAAAAGCTGTAGTGTCATCAGAGCGGTAAAATGTTCACCTTTCATTTACTTCCTTCCCTGTACAGAATTAGCATGGCATTTTAAATGTTGATGTTCTTGGTCCCAGCATGCCTGTTTTAAGACAAAGGATTTAAACACACACACACACACACACACACAAAGGGCGTCTACGTTAAATTATGAATTTAGTCCAAATAATATTTTCTCATTAAAATATGTAAACTCACATTTCAGTTTCGTGTCTTTTTTTGAAGAGTTTCCCAGAAACCCTGATTTTCCACGAAATAGATGTAATGCCTCCCTAAGTCTGCTCTGCACAATACATCACCTAAGGACTCTTTCTCACATCTTACCTCTGCAATTCTGCACTTGTAGATTGGAGGAGAAAATTTTCAAACTCACTCCTGAAGAGGCAACTCACTGTGTCTGCCCCAGCTCTGGTGCCTAAGGAGCATAAGCCTGTCAGAAACCTTGCTGAAGCAAATCAGAACTTGCTATGGATTAATGCATTTTTAAGTAAGCATTTAATGAAACATCTTACACTCACATTCAGGGCAGATGGAAACCAAGTAGAGATGAGGCAGAGGTGTAAGAAGTGAAAACAGACCTGCTCAATATATTCTGATGCATTTTACCGGGGATGAGAATTTATTTCCTTTCTCCTTTTGGTTATTGCCGCTGTGGGAATTTTTCTTCTTCAGAAATGACCGTAAGGCCCATTTTGCTTGTCAAAAAGCTGTTCACTCTAAAATGAACATAATTCTCTTAACGCTTGCCTGTGAGCAAGTCCTAGCAGTACTTGGTATGTTTCTTTTTAAAAAGTAAGTGAATCCACTTTAAATGCTTAACTCTAAGTATTAACTTTAAAAACAAAAATATGCCCCCCCCCCAGAGACTAAAAATTAGTCAAGACTAGTTGAAAATGTATTGGAGGAATCCCAAGATTCTCACAGTGAGATGTAGACCCAACTAATGAAGTACCAAGACAAAGAGAAGCGTGAATGGTGATTAGCACTTTACTGTGTAAAATGATCAAACAAGAAACCCTGGTGCAACATGGAGAAGCCCACACAGCAACCATGCTCACCATCCTGTGTCAGGAGAAACTTTATCTGGCACCTGCACCCCGTATTTATTTATATCATGGTTGGAAAAAATTAGGATTAATGTGGAGGGTAATTAATCCTGTTGTGTCCATTTTTTAAAAGGAAGGATCCCATACACAGCCACACACACACAAAGGTGGAAAATAAATGAATCATCGGACTGATTAAAATGCATGAAGCTACGAAAGCTCGTCAGACAGGGGACAACTAAACTCATTCATCAAGCCCAATTCACAAGTATATCAACAAGATCAACCAAAGAAAGCCTAGAAAACTTATACACCCAGAGTTAAGAAATTCTTGAAACTCTTCCCCGAAAGAAATCATCTGTCTTTTAAAAAATTAAATATATGTCCTGCAAAATAAAAATAAGACCATCTCTAGAATATTCTAATCTGGTGGAGTTTACTAACTCTGCATTCTAACTAGGAATGAAGGGAGCCCAGAGGGCCATCAGGATGCCTGAGGCGCTTTATAAACCATCAGCTTAAATTGGTGGCACAGGCATTCCAATACAGACTCACTTGTAAGTGAGGTGTGCATCCATACATGCAATACCTGGAGGCAAATACGACTCAACTCCTGTTTCTGATATCTAGCAAAAGGAGTGGTTTCGACTCAGTATTTTAAAACGTTCTTTTCAGTGGGTAAGCATGGGGTATTGCCGAGAAGGAAATAACTTGGGCTTGGTGAGTCTTCCTTTCACACTTGCAGGCATCTTTTCCCAGACAAAGTTGATGAGTGAAGTAAAAAATCCATTGATGATATTTTGACATTGATCCAAAGTCCAACAGCAGCCCAAGCACACAACACCTCTAGCTCACTCCACGGAGGCCTTCACCCCAGCTCTGAGACTTATGCCCTGTGTAGCTGAAGTGCCCCACAAATAAGGAAGTTTATAACTCTGATACCTTCAATGGCTCCCTTTGTCATGTTAAATCCTTTTTACCTGGCTCAAGTCCAAAGTCAACACACACACACACACACACACACAACGAGCTCTAAACTGGCAGCAAGCAGTGGGAAGGTGTATGTGCACTGTCTTGTCCTGAGACCTGAATGATAAGTTACATTCTTTTTTCTAGTTTGCAAATCCAGATATTCGTATGATCATGATTACTAGTCATTTAGGATTTTACTTTGGAACCTTGGCTATTATTCCGGGACTTGGTTTCTTCTTATCATTCCTGCTAGATTCAGCTGTGTTTGTAAACAGCTTTCTCGGTGATTTTGGGGGTGGGGTGGCACAACGGGTGAATTTGGTGCGTTTCTCAGGGGAGAAGCTGCAGAATTCCCTGATGGCCCTGGTGCTTGGATTGGGGAGCTCTGAAATGTCGGGAAGACAGCTTGCAAACGATCCTCGGGATGACTGAACAATTGTAGTGGGAGCTGAATGCCTTCAAGAGGGGTGAGAGAGCCCAGTACCTCAGCAGCAGGGATCTGACCAGGTACTAGGGTGCAGTGCAGCGGAGAGGCGAGTGAAAGGGAGTGGGGAGAATAGCCCAGGCCTATCTTGCAGACACAAGAGTTCCCTTCAGTCTGTGCAAGGGTGGGAGGTGGGTAGCATTGGGGTGGGGGTGGGGGGGAAGGATGGTTCGTACTTTGACAAATGCAAACTCTCTTTGTAAAAGGTACACAGTTAAGAAAGAAAAACGATCCGGATCTGCCTCTCCAATTCTTAATATGTCACTTCATTTTTGTGCCCCCTTCCCCCCCCGCAGAAGCCGCGTATACACAGAGTCTCGCAAACAAAAACAACCCCACCCACCGGCTGTGAAGCCGCAAAGGGGGTGCATTTGTTTCGTTTAAACTAACAACAAATTATCTAATTAATATGTTTCAATTACAGCATGAAAGGCACAGCCCCTGGACCCCCCGCCAAGGGGGCACAATAGCCCCAGGGCCCACTCTAGGAATTTACAATCACTTCACATCTGTTTCTTTATTTTCCACGTTTTGAGTCTAAACTCTCAAGATCACTTCGAACCAGGGCCTGAGTTATGAAATATGTCCCGGCGCTCACGGGGAATGAAACTTTGCCCACGGACGGACGCTTCATTTGCAAGCAAAAAAAGGGAAAGGCCATTGAAGAGCATTAAACAAATATATTAGAATTCTGTCACTTTATGCAATTGAGTAGATCAAATGAAGGGTCCCGGCCACTTCATTCACTCTCATTCACTGCAATAGAAAACCCAAAGAATAGCAACCCGAGACTGGGCCACCGATGTAGATTTAGCTCCTTTTTACTGGGAGACAAAAAGGCTGAATTTTCACAAACACATTGCTGGCTCGGGGACTAGGAAACGGGCCCTGGAACCCCTTTGGAATTTAAATTCATTTTATCTTCCTCTCTCTTAGCCAGATCTGTTTGCACTACAGTGCAAGATGCAGCAGGCATCCTCTGGCTTCTGGAGGGAAAAACAGGGGGGAGGGGAAGAAAGTGAGTTGGGGGGTGGAGAGGCAGCCTGGGCCTAGAATTCCCAAGGAGCCTCTGGTGATCAACTAGCACTGGGGTCTGAGATAATAACTTGGGGTTTTAAAAAAATCTTTATCTACATCCATCGGAAC